ATATGAAAAAAGAGATAATATATTAATGAACCTCTGTCAGTAAGAATATGTATCTTATTGATGATTGATAGTGGTTGAGTAACTTATCTTATATATGTAAATGATAGAGAGGAACAAATTTTGATAAGTATCAATTATATTAAGTAAACACAGGATTCTATAACATTAAGTGTAAAAAGGACTGGAATTTTAAATATGGTAATAACAAATTTACAGAATTATACAATCCATGGTATTAAATAAATTAATATATTTTTCAAACTATAACATTATTAAGTACTATGGATATGAATAAAATCATAAAATAAAAGGTATTTTAAATATGGTAATTATATATTTACAAAATTACACAATCTATGGTATTAATTAAAGTAAAATATTTTCCAAACTATAACATTATTAAGTACTATGGATGTGAATAAAATCGTAAAGTAAAATAGATTTTAAATATGTTCATGCAAAATTGCAGGAAATGGATTGATGACATTTTTGACATAATAAAATTATTTATGACCAAATAAATGTACTAATTTTCGTTTTATTATAAAAAACATTTATATTCCAGTATTTTAGTAAAGAATCCAAAAACATCATTAATTAAAGGTTGGAACTGTTTGGACTGAAATTTATTAATAATAAAATAACTTATTCTCTGAAACTGAATTAAAAACTACACTTAAACTTGATTACAACACTTCCAATATCAACGACTCCTTGGTGGCTGCCTTTTGGGCGTTTATACAAAATCCGAGCTTTATATTAGTTGGGATCCTTTTCAAAATCATCATATGTTGGAGGTCTCCTTGAACAATGAAGCGATGTGGAAAATCATCAGCATTGGCACGAACCATACTAATAATAGGTTCTCCATCATAGTACAGGATCAATAATTGATAGTCTTGAATATCCAATCTTCTGACAATGTGCCATAGTGTTTCCCGTGGCAAATAATTGATTCAGTACATTAAATATTGTTGAGGAAATAATAATTCAATTAACAAACTATTGTTATATATTATAAGTATGATGTAATATTAATAAAGTTTAAATATTTTTACCAGTCTACCATCGGTAATTACATCAGCGGTCATAACCACATTGAAAGTATTCTGATCGCTGTTGGACCTTATGTAGTTAATTATGTCAACCTCACCTGTGATGTAAATATTTTATGTTTTTAGAGTTCTATATAAACACATAGAAAGATATATGAATTTATATAAAGTGAAATAAAATGTAGTAGACAGCATAAGTAACCTATGCAAACCTTCAGATGTGTCTGAACCGACAGTCTTCTGATGATGGCTGAAACAGTACCCTTCTTTGTTAAAAACCCTTACCTTAAAGTAAAGATTTCCAGTGTAAATCAATATAACATTTACACATTCATAGTGGTTAAAATAGAAGTCATGGAACCCACATAGGGCCTTCAAAACCTGCTAGATCATTTTCTTGGGTATATATCTGAAACTTCCACTGCTTCTGATTATCATCAATTACCAATGAAGCTTTTGTTCTAAAGGCCAATTTATGGCTCTAAAGTACTGTGTGTTAATAGCCTAAGGTCGAGAAGAAGATAGAACAGATGTCAAATAATTTTAAATATTAAAAGATTAAAAGTCAAATACCATATATGAAATTCTGTTTATAAAAACTTACACATCGATTAGCAACGTTTGGATTCAATTCCAAAAGGTAACGACTGCCAATATTTGCAGTTTGATCTGATGTGAGCCGTTGTCTTCCATCATTAAAAAAATGAAATAACTGTAGAACTTTTCTTTGTTGCTGGTAAACAACGTGAATTTTTGTGTGAGGAGATAGACCAATGGATGTAAAGAATTCTTCTAGAGCATTTCCCCACAACTGACATATTCTTTTTTTATTAATATGTAAATTTGCAAACACGGACTGACCAACATGCTTCATATTTGCAGTAAGGTTACTGCTAAGTATCTGTTAAATAAAAAAAAATTAAAAACAGGATGACACAGTATATATTATTCAAGTAGAATTTGTATTATATACTTATAAATCCCTTTCTCCATATGTCTGTTGGCACAGTAATAAGTTGATCGTACCTGAAATCCATGGTAACTTGTGTTCTGCCTGTTCTTTGAATGAAAAATAATGTAAAAAGAAGGGGAAAGAACTTGGTAACGATCTAGATACGTTATGTGTGAATATAAATAGTTTGGATATGTTGTACACCTATTTAAGGCACCTTAAATTTGGAACTGAGGGGTCAGTTATGAGGATTTCTGTTTAAAATGAAACTCCTAATTCAGTTGTTCTTAATGACAACTATTCAGTTTCAACTTAGATAATATTTGATTAAGATTTTTAGAATCATACTTTTCTGTACTCTGTCCTTCTTTGTTATGTTTATCTACATATATTTGATATTAAACTGTACCTTATTTTTTAAATAAAAAATAATGGAAATAAAAATTTATTGCGAGTATTTTGTTTACTTTTCCTCATGTAAGTCTAAAATGGAGACAACCAATAAGTTATTACAAATAATTCATAAGTGAAATCGACACATATTAACTGATAACCTTCAAAACATAAATGTATAATTTTAAAACCAAACCTCAGAAACCTAACAAGTGTACTTGTTACAGGAAAAACAACATAATGGCTGAAAAAGTAAGCATCGAACAAAACATTATTATTCATGAATCAGTTATGAATGAATAGATCCATCCTTTAATAAAAGGTCACCAAAACTTGTAGATAATATTCCTGAGACGCTTGTTGGAGTTGGAATTGACACTTATTTTCTAATTTGAGCAAATGAGAAACTTTTCAGTGGAGCAATGTGATCTGTTTCATCTCCAGGAAGTCCCATATTAGAACAGTCAAAGCACAAAAGTAAAATCTGTAAATATACAGAATAGTAAGTCATCAAATTTGTTTACTTGCAAGTAATCCATCGATTTATATGTAGATTATATAAATACATACAATGTTCCTTACTAGTGCATGTATACCCATATTTTACCAGTATTGCAACCTGACCCATCAAGTAAATAAACCTGCACTTTTTATTAGGAAGTAAAAGCAAATATGCATGTAATGATTTGCTGTTATAAGGAACATAAAAATTATAAGAAATGTAAAATGGATACAAATATTCTCAAGCTCAAATAATGCAAATATTGAAATCGCCGTATCAGATGGCATTTTATTCTGAAAAATAAACAAATAAGTTTAAAACCACAATTCTGAAATCTAACTGGTGTACTGCTCTCAGAGCAAAAAGACGGATTAAAGGATAAAGTTCCCAACGAAAACTAAATTATGTAAAGGGAAATAAATTGTTCAAGAGATGCATCCTTTATTAAGATATAAAATTCTTGGTAATTGTTCATTCTGATTAAAGCTTCCTGACACGCTTGTTGGGGTGGGACTTGACACTTTCTTCGCCACATTGTGCAGACGCATTCTTCTTCGGTGGAGGACTGTCACCCGTTTCATCTCCAGGACCTCCCATATCGGTATCATCAGTGCACGAAACTGCAGTCTGTAAATATAAGGAATAGTAAGTCAACAAACTTGTTTACTTACAGTAATATATATGTTTTACTTGTACATTACATAAACACTTATTAAATACCTTAGCAGTGCTCTCAGATAATGGGGTTAAATTATGGCAGAACTCGGCACTTAGTTCAGGATCAATTTCCTGAAAATTTATGAAATAATGTGACTGGTAAAAAATAGCAACAGTTATAATGATTTACATAAATATGTTATTGTTTAAAACCTGATCATCAGAGACAGCATCAAGGTACTTCCTTATAACGTCTGCATCTATTGTAACCCTTGTAACTGATATCTCACTGGTGTTGTTTCTAATGTTATAGTCTGAGACATCTAGCCTGAACAGACACTTCTTCCCCACAATCTCATCTAGAATGTCAGGGTAACCTTTGGGATACTGTTATAGCATTACAAATGAATAGCATATAATAATCAATAACTTGAAAATAATGCAACAATTACACTTGAATATAAACAATGAATGCTATAATTGTATTTAATTTGTACCTCTTCACGTAGCACAGAGGCACTCTTGTTTATGAAGTTGTACACCATTCTGCCCCATAGAGTACCAATTCTGCTACCTGAACCATCAACTAAATACACCTGCAACTTGAATCTGAAATTTGTCCATCAGTTACCAATTTTACAAAGTAACAGAGACATATAGTGTAAACTTTTAGTATGAAAAACATTATAAACTATATGTGACTAAAGTTGATTTACTTTGTAGCGACAACAAAAACAGGCCCATGGTTTTTGCACATCCATTTATTTGCTAATCCAACTGGCTTTTCATTATCTACCTTTCTACCTTTGCCAAAGGCAGACTTTTTATTCCCCCCAGTGATGTTTTCCTTTGCAGATGATTCTATCTCAACAACCTTATTGTTACAGTTGCTGCAACCTATGTATGACCAGTCATACTCTTTTCCCAATCCAGATATTTTTGCAAAAACAATAACACCAGAAGCTTGTAAACGATTACATTACAGGGTAAGAAATCAATAAAAAATGTAAATTTGAAAATTTTACTTTGTATGGTTTGAAAGTATATATTAACATGTTACCTGTTCCAAATCATCAATCCCAGCCAATGTCAACATTTCAGCATCACACACAAATTCCTCGAAATTTGTGTATCCTGAAATGGAAGATAGGAGGGAAATCTTTTGGATGTTTGCAGACCTAATCTCTGCCTGATCAATCTTGTGAATGTGAGTCCATTACTTGCCATTCCAATTTGGTTTCATTTAACTATTTGTATACACTGTGACATTAATTTTGTTTTACCTGAATTTGTATTCGTATATATCTGGAATGGTCATGTTATTTAGGAAGATCCTACCATTGAACAGATTCGTTGTGATTGAAACTTTAGCTGGATCAGATCAAAGTATATGTGTCACTAAAACTGCTAAAATTTAATGTAACAAACAAAGATTTATGCTTTAAAACCCAATATACTTACAGTAGTATTTTTTGCATTTCACGTACTGAACAATCAGGACAACAGGGTAATCAGGATTTTTAGTCATCATGTTATAAACCCTGTCTGCGTGCTCATCCCATAATGTGACCTTTAACCTATCGGCCCTGCATTTAATTTAAAATTAGTCAAAATATGTTGTGTATGCTCAACTGATTAGGAATATACATACAAAATTAGTAAAAAAATTATATACATTGGTAAAATCACTTACCTTTCATCTTCCAATTCAATCGAAATCCTCTTCTTACCATTATCGATAATTGGATCATTGTAACTAAGTATGTGTCCCAAAAAATATGAAATAAATGAATGAATATTAATCATACTTGGATGTTTTTTAAAAGATACATAAGCAAAATATTATACTGAAATATGAAAGATGTTATCCTTACCAAAACAGAAGTCAAAGTTTGCAACGAAATTGGTAATTTCTGCAAAAGGGGTAAATTCAAACACATGATTAGGGATGTCATGGTAACCAACAGATTGAACCAATGTGTCAGGTCGGAAAACAATTTTGTATTCGTGTTTTGAGCAACGGTATCCCCCACTTATATTCAGGCAATGATCAAAACGTGAGATCCTCCTGGCACAACCCTCTTGAAGGAAATACTTCTGGAAAACTTTCATTATCCTCGCGGGTATAGTCGCCTGAATCTTGGATACCTATATTTCAAAAAGTTTGGACAAATAATTATATAAGAATTGCATCTTCCTAATGTGTAAAACATTAATTAATTTAAAAACTGTATTAAATAATATAATACCTGAGCATCAATCAATGCCAACTCAACAGATTTGACATTCTTGTTTTTATCTCTATCATTTTCCAAATGGTTATAACACGAACAACTATGTAGAAATGGATAGTTTTGGTTGGTACCAAGCCATTGATATCGGCAATGTACCTTTGTGCGCAACTGTTGGAACTGGCTGATCAACATTAGGGGGGGGGGGGGTTTGATTTCCAGCAATTGGATTTTCAGCGTGGTGTTGGTTTTCAGAATCAACAAGATGTGTTTCTGTTTAAACTGCATGAGCAACATTCTGGGTTTCAGATCCAGCAATTGGAATTTCAGGATGGATTTGATTATGAGAATCAACAACAGGGGTTTCTGATGAACCCATGGGAGTTTCAGAAATAGTGGGAGATTGGAAATTTGAATGGGAAACAGAAGCAACAATTGGAGCTTGAGAATCAATGGTGGCAGGTTCAAAAACAGGGCTGTTTTTTTTTTTTTTTTGGGTGCAGTTAACCTAATTTAAGAAACGGAATTTGGTGTTGTTGAATTGGGGAGATGATTTAGGTTTTGGTGAATATCTCATATACCTGTGAAGGTATTTATACAGAGTATGTGATCATCAATTCCATGGGATTATGAAGGTAAGCATATCTCTGAGATTCTGATGTTCACTGAAAAACTGCAAAAGAGATATGCACCTATAGATTGTTGATAAGATAAACATGGATCAATCAAGCAATTAATCACCGATGGTAATGATATTATCTTGTTCTGGATTGTTATTTAATTTAATTTGATTATTTAATTTTTTAAATTCAAAACTGTTATTTGGGAAGTTGATCTGATGTTTACCGTATAATTAGAGCAACAATAAATGGAAGAAACACGATGGAGCCAGATTTCAGGGAATGAAACAGATATCTCGATCCATGATAGAATTGGGTGAAAATCATTTATGTCTATCGTTGTGTGTTTGTAATATAATAAGCAGAATTGTTAATATTAATTTGTTTATTTACTGTTTCTATCAAGCTTACATATATTGATATATATATATATATATATATACTGTAATTATGAGACTGATTCTTAATCCCCAAATTATTGGAAAAATCGTTTAGCTACCGATAACTATGGTACGTTTTTTTCTTTCCTGCATTTTCTTAAATTCCTTAAGAAATTCCTTAAATCATCATTTTTCTGCTCATCTGAAGTGTCATGTGGTGTTTTTCATTTTGTAATGAAAAATAGTTTTGGCGGGAAAATTTTTAATGTGAGATTAACACGTGTCTTTTTTGTATGTTGCTTTAATTAAGTACAATGGATAAAAACACTTTACGTCTCAAATTAAGTTTATGCCAGAAATTTCATTCTTCAAACTGTATTTCTTTTTAGTAATTTTTGAGGTTATGGGTTAGGCTTTAAAGAAAAGTGTTTCCATTTCATCAATTGCATTAATCATCGGATATCATGTACTGGTTCAGTTGCAATACTTAGCGCAATAATCTTTCATTTTATTATTTATGGGTCCTGAATCATTATTCCCGTTGGTATTTACGAAATTAATTATAACATCTTTTTGTACATTAGTCATATAACCATCGCTTTCTGTTCTTGTAATTTGTTACACATTTTGGCTTTCCTTTCTTTTGCTGTCGAGGTTTTAAGTCAACTTTATAAGATTTTAATATTAATATATTTATTTTTGCAGAATAAAAAAATCAAAATCAACTATTACTTCTTTCAAAAATTATTAGGGATGCAGTTGAATGTGAGACCAAAATTCAACCTACAATGAAATAACTCATTAAGTCCGAAACATAATAGGTAAAATTATACGAACTCTGTTCTTTTCTATAATAAACTATTTAAAATAAAGTTACTCAATATATCCTCTAAACTTGTCTATTTAATAAATAAAGAAATGCACAATAGTAATTCAATCCTTTAACATGTAATTCAATAAAAATAAATTTATTTTAACACTCATGAGCTATGAGGCGTGAGAATAACTAGTTTAACTATACATTGATTGTAACAAATTTTTTCAAACAAGAATAAAGAAATATTATTCGAAAAAGTACTGCCTAACACTCATAAACTATTAGGCATGAGAATAACTATATATATATATATAAGTTAATATTCAGTTTTAATGTATTTTTTATTTATGCCATTCTTAATAATTTTTATCTTTCCGATACCCTTAATTAAAATTTTCATCGATTTTTTTCCGTCTTTTATTATTATTATTATTTTATTTCATTTTACTCCTGATCCTTTTGCCTTGAGCGCTTATCCTCACTCCACCAAAACGGTTCAAAGACCTTCATTCGTTCATGACATCTTCATCATCTTTAAACTTGAATACAACGAAACTATAAGGTGCTAAGTAAGTAGGGAGCCGAGATTAGAAGAACAGAAGTGAAGAATAGAAAAAAGGTAATCGTTTCTTGTTTTCTGTTTTCTTAGCTTAGATTCAATTTCCATTTGCAGTAATTTGATGTTTTTTTTTTCTTTTAGTACTTAGTAAATAAACTTCTGAGGATTCTAGGATAGTTGGTTAACCCAAACTGAAATTGGGTTTGTTTATTATTATGGTCTAACCAGGTAGGTTGTTGGTGACCTCCTGGTGTTGGCCGTGTTGGGACGCTGTGATTCTTTTCTTTCTTTGTTTGTAAAGATTAAATGGAATGAAAGCAAGCCATATAAGTTAATTTGAGGAACAGATTTCTCTTTTCTTTTTTTCTTTTTTTTTGTGAGTTAATTTTCGACGAACATTTTTCAACAAGGCAATGATTTGAACTGTTGTGAATGAAGGAATAGCAGAAGAGAGGAAAACTCATAGTTCCTAAATTATTATCCGGAAATTTCGGCATGAGCGCTGGCAAGCTCTCTGTTCTTGCTAGTAAGTCTGTTGCTTTCTACCATGGCTTCGTTTTTCCATCTCTCATCGCTACTCCGGATTGAGATCTATTAGCTTCTGCCTTTTAATTAGCTGCGTCTGAGGGTGATGTTTGTCTTAATTTGCTGCATCCTCGTGTTCTTCTCCGTTAACGTTTACTGAATGCTGTAGTAGTTATTTTTCTATTTGACGAGGATTTTATTTTTGCATCCTTTGGCTTTTGTATCATGAATCCGTGATGATTTCCTGAATATTTTCTAAGAACAATCGACATCAGTTCCGCTTTGGTTCTTCACAATTTGCAAGAGATAAGTAGTTTTATTACTAACCTTTGTGGTCTCATTTTAGTTTTCGGTGAGGTCATTTATAGGTGGCAACAAAGATAAGCTTATGGACATATCTTGTAATCTTTTCTTGTGGTGTTCATCAACTAAGTCGACTTTTGGATGATTTGTGGATTGCAGTTATTGCTTTAAGACTTTTGTTTGTTGGTCCTTTCACTCTTCTACTATCAGTTTATGCTGTGGATAACCGTTTAAGCATTTGCGTTGACTTTGCAACCTCTAAAAAGTTGTGGTGGTTAGTCTCTTTCTCGGCCTTGTGTTTATCTTGATTGTGCATTTTCTTTGGCTTCTAGGTGGTGCATTTGGAGGAAACAGAGGGGTGAGGCCTTTACCACCAGAGAAGGGAGTCTTTCCTTTGGACCACCTGCATTTATGTGACCTGGTGTGGTTCATTACAGATGGCCTTTTGTTGTTAAATGTTCCTCTGATAATCCATTGAGTTGTTGAAATACATTGGATTGAGCTGTTTACCCAAACTTTTCCCTGTGTCTTGTTGCAGGAGAAGAAGGAATACCTCAATTGTCTTAAATCCTCGGGTCATAAATCCAAAAAATGCCGCCATCTCTCAAAGATGCATCTGCAATGCCGTATGGAAAAGTAAGCAACTTGGTTTCTGAAGCTTGCTTTATATATATATATTTTTCATAGCCATAGTTACACAACATATTGGAGCATATTGTGGCGTAGCCTTTCACATCTTTCACGAGTGCTTAAAGCAAAGAGCTTTCTTTGTTTTTGTGGTCGTCATTGAAGCTAATGAATCTTCTTTCAACTTTATTATTTGGCAACGGATGGCTGTCCATGATCCATTTAATCTTATGACATGGTATGATAGCTGTGAAGTACTAAAAGTTTGCCTCATTTGGTTATCCTCTACTAAAAATCTTTCTTCACCCAAGGCTAAAACAAACTATCCCATCTTCTTCCATGCTGAAAGGACTTGGGGGTTATTCCATCTAATGGACTGATTATTGATAATGCCGGTGCATGCTCTTTGCCTGCTCTATTTCTCTCCTTTTGCACACACTTACACAGTCAAAATGGCAGCTCTAACATGCTATTGTTCAAGTGCCATCTTGTTCAGGTACCCTTTGAATTGTTCAAGGATACACTCCCAAAAAGACTTGCATTCAATAAAGAGAAATGGAATTGTATACAATCGTAGTGACATTTGCAGAAGCTGTGTTTTGTGGCGGGGAGTATTTACAAGAAAGCAGCAAATTTCAGGGAGAGTTTTCGATAAGTTTCTGATAAGGTCATCTTACAGTGATAATGAAGAAAGTAAAAATGGTGGTAATAATGGGGAGGGAAAGGATAAAGAGAAATCCAGTTTGGCAACTGCTGAGTTGAGAAAAGATGATGATGGAGACAATTTAGCATCCTCTACGTCTTCAAAGCAACCTAGTGTTTCTCCTATGGGGCCCCCTTACAACAATTTTCAGGTAGACTCATTTAAACTGTTGGAACTGCTTGGACCAGAGAAAGTTGATCCTACAGATGTGAAGATAATTAAGGATAAGTTATTTGGTTATTCTACCTTCTGGGTGACGAGAGAGGAGCCATTTGGAGACCTTGGAGAGGGGATTCTTTTCCTTGGAAATCTTAGGGGAAAAAGAGAAGATGTGTTTGCTAAACTTCAACGTCAATTATCTGAAATTATGGGTGACAAGTACAACTTGTTTATGGTTGAGGAACCGAATTCAGAAGCACTGGATCCACGTGGCGGTCCCAGAGTTAGCTTTGGAATGCTGAGGAAAGAGGTCTCTGAACCAGGCCCGACAACCCTCTGGCAGTATGTAATTGCTCTTCTGCTATTTCTCCTCACTGTCGGTTCATCTGTGGAATTAGGAATAGCAAGTCAAATAAACAGGCTTCCTCCAGAGGTAGTTAAATATTTTACTGATCCGAATGCTGTTGAACCTCCTGACATGCAACTTTTATTACCATTCGTTGAGTCTGCCTTGCCCATTGCATATGGTGTTTTGGGAGTTCAGCTATTTCATGAAGTTGGACATTTTCTGGCTGCATTTCCTAGGAATGTTAAACTGGGCATTCCGTACTTCATCCCGAATATAACGCTGGGGAGTTTTGGGGCAATCACTCAGTTCAAGTCCATTCTCCCTGATCAAAAAGCAAAAGTGGATATTTCTTTGGCCGGTCCCTTTGCCGGCGCTTTGTTGTCTTTTTCGATGTTTGTAGTTGGTTTGCTACTTTCATCAAATCCAGCTGCCACAACTGATTTAGTTCAGGTTCCAAGTATGCTTTTTCAAGGTTCTCTGCTTCTTGGGTTGATCAGTAGGTCCACTCTTGGCTATGCAGCAATGCATGCAGCAACTGTTTCAATACATCCTCTTGTGATTGCTGGCTGGTGTGGGTTGACAACTTCAGCTTTTAATATGTTGCCAGTTGGATGTCTTGATGGAGGAAGAGCCGTGCAGGGTGCCTTTGGTAAAAATGCACTGATTGCCTTTGGTTTGGCAACTTACACATTGCTTGGATTGGGAGTGCTTGGCGGGCCTTTATCGCTTCCATGGGGGTTGTATGTACTGATATGCCAGAGAACCCCGGAGAAACCATGCTTGAATGACGTTACTGAGGTTGGAACCTGGAGAAAAACCATTGTGTCTCTGGCGATTTTTCTGGTTGTCCTGACCCTTCTTCCGGTTTGGGATGAACTTGCAGAAGAGCTAGGCATAGGTCTTGTAACCACATTGTGAACAGGACTTTTAAAACCAAATTTTGACTTCACATTTTTAGTATTATTACGAGGCAATTGCTTAAAAAGAAAAAGTATAAGTCCACATTTTCTGACGTTATGATTTCTATCACTAGCACTTCTTTCTCGGGTATAATTATAATGATGTACATAAATCTTTGAAATGCTATGTGAATTCATTTTTTTGTATAAGCATTTTTTTTTATTCTGATAGTGATGTGGACGATGATCATGGTGGTAACAAAAGCAAGGATATTGTTAGTAAAAGGAGAAAGTAACAAAGGCCTGTTCGGAGTTATGAGTATGCAGAAAAAATACACATGACAAGAATGATCAGGAGAATAATAAGAAATAAAATCTATTGAAAGGCTTAGGAAATTGTCAGGGGCAAAGTTTGGGTATAATAATGGTCAGCAAAATCATCGAGAGAAGGAATTGGGGGAAGGTATACAGCTGAAAATCAGGAATCCTGTTGAGAAGAGAAGATTGTGGCTAGGTATTTGAATCAGAGGATTCTGCCAGAGCATAACATGCAAGAAGCAAGAGCTAGAAAAGGATTATGGCAGAAACAATAAAATGGTGACTTTATCTGGAGGTTGAACTCTTGAAGCGGATTCGTCTGATTAAAGGATAACTTAATCAGACGAATTCTCTGATGCTTGGAAATGATTAATAAAAGGGTCGAAAACGGTGAATTTTGGAACGCAAGGAGTATAAATCAAATGATCCAATTCACGTTTGTATTGCATTGGTGTTCTGTGTTTGTTAACTTGTGCCAAAGGCACCTAACAAGTCAAAACGTTGCTCAATAGCACAAACTAAATTAATATAGCACAAACTAAAATATTACTACTATGTACTTGGATTTTCAAAATATTAGGAAAATAGATAATGTACTGGAAGTCTTTTATTTTATTTCATTTTTAACCCCTGATCCTTTTGACTTCAGCGGCTTTTCCTCACTCGACCAAAACAATAGTTCAAACTTCAAAGGCTTCATTCTTTCATGACATCTTCATCATCTTTAAACTGGAATACAACCAAACAAAAAGTTGCAAAGCCGAGATTAGGAGAACAGAAGTGAAGAATAGAGAAAGGTAAAATTGAAATCATTTCTTGTTTTCTTTTTATTTAACTTAGATTCAATTTCCATTCACAGTGGTTTGATGGATTTTCCTTTTTATTGTACTTAGTTAAAGAAACTTCTGAGGATTCTAGGATAGTTGGTTAACTCAAATTGAAATTGGGTTCGCTCATCTTATGGGTCTAACCAGGAAGGTGTTGTTGAGGTGTAGGCCATGTTGGGACGTTGTGATTTTTTTTGTTTCTTTGTTTGTAAAGATTAAATGGAATGAAAGGAGCCATGTAAGTTAATTTGAGGAACAGATTTCTCTTTTTTTTGTGAGTTAATTTTCGACGAAACTTTTTCCAACAAGGTAATGATTTGAACTGTTGCGAATGAAGGAATTGCAGGAGAGAGGAAAACTCACAGTTCCTAAAATTATTATCGGGGAATTTGGGCATGAGTGCTGGTAAGCTCTCTGTTCTTGCTAGTAAGTCTATTGCTTTCTGTAATGGCTTCGTCTTTCCATCCCTTATTGCTACTCTGGATTGAGATCTATTAGTTTCTGCGTTCGTCTTAATAGCTGCATCCTTATGTATTTCTCCTTTAACGTTTACTGAATGCTGTAGTATTTATTTTTTATCTGTAGGTGATTTTATTTATGCATCCCTTGCCTTTTGTATCATGAGTCCGTGATGATTTGCTGAACTTTTCTTAGAACAATTTACATCAATTCCGCCTTGGTTCTTCACAATTTGAGAAAGATAGCTTCCGCTAAAGCGATTGTAGCAGCTCCAGCACCTATTAATTTTGCACCCTAAGTATTATTATTTCTAACCTTTGTGGTCTCATTAGTTTTTGGCGAGGTCATTTGTACTTAGTAAATTTGCTTTTAGAGGGCAACAAGGATAAGCTTATGGAGATATCTCGTAATCTTTTCTTATGGTGTTCATCAACTAAGTTGATTTTTGGATGATTTGCGGATTCAACTTATTGCTTAGAGACCTCTCTCTCTCCCTCTCTTTTTTTTTTTTTTTTCGTCCTTTTACTCTTCTACTATCAGTTTATGCTATGGATAACTGTTTAAGCATTTGCGTTGACTTTGCAACATCTAAAACATGGTGGCGGGGAGTCTCTTTGTCGGCCTTGTATTTATCTTGATTGTGCACTTTCTTGTTTTTGGCTTGTAGGTGGTGCATTTGGAGGAAACAGAGGGGTGAGGCCTGTACCACCAGAGAAGGGAGTCTTCCCTTTGGACCACATGCATTTATGTGACCTGGTATGGTTCATTAAGGATGGCCTTTTGCTGTTAAATGTTCCTCTGATGTTCCATTGAGTTGTTGAATACATTGGACTCAGCTATTTTACTCAAAGTTAGCCTGTATCTTGTTGCAGGAGAAGAAAGAATACCTCAATTGTCTTAAATCTTCTGGTCATAAATCTGAAAAATGCCGCCACCTCTCAAAGATGTATCTGCAATGCCGTATGGAAAAGTAAGCAACGTGGTTTCTGAAGTTTGCTTTATATATATTTTTTTCATAGCCATAGTTAAACAACATGTTGGAGCATATTGTGGCGTAGCCTTTCACATTTTTCATGAGGGCTTAAAGCATAGAGCTTTCTGTTTTGGTGGTCGTCATTGAAGCTAATGAATCTTCGTTCAACCTTATCATTTGGCAACCAATGGCTATTCATGATCCATTTTAGTAATGATGCGGTAAGTATGATAGCTTTGAAGTACTAAAAATTTGCCTGATTTCGTTACCTCTACTAAAAATTTTTCTTCTCCCAAGGCTAAAACAAACTATCCCCTCTTCTCCCATGCATTGAAAGGACTTCGGAGTTATTCCATCTAATGGGCTGATTATTGATAATGCTGGTGCTTCTTTGGACTGATATTATTCAATACTAATTAGAAAGTGAAAATCATTTTTGTTCAATTCTTTCCTTGTTGCTTCATGTTTCATCCGTTTACAATATGCCATCATTTTTATGATTCTTGAAGTGGACAAAGATAAAAAAAGAAAGAAGTTTGGTGGAGGAGTTGTATGCTGTCAGAAGAATTATGATTAGCTGGCTTGATCCTGATAATATTGATTCTGATAGTGATGTGCACGATGATCATGGTGGTAACAAAAGCAAGGATATTGTTATTATTTGTGGTATAGTAAAAGGAGAGAGTAACAAAGGCATGTTCAGAGTTTTGACGTTTGAGTATGCAGAAAAAAAATGACAAGAATAATCAGAAGAATAAGAAATAAAATCTAATGAAGACTGCAAAATCATTGAGAGAAGGGATTGGGGGGAGATATGCAGCTGAAATCAGGAATCCTCGAAAAGAGAAGATTGTGGCTAGGTATTTTGAATCAGAGGACGCTGCCTGGGCGTAACAAGCAAGAAGCAGGAGTTTGAAAGGATTACGGCAGAAAACAATAGAATTGTGACTTTATCTTGAGGTTGAACTCTTGAAGCGGATTAATCTGATTAAAGGGTAACTTAATCAGACGAATCCACTGAGATCTGTGAATGCGAAGACACCTGATTCTGGTGCCAATTGGAGCTTAAATTAGTCCTCTCATTCACCTTTAAAAGTTAGTCTACGATATTATCTAGAAAGAGAAAAAAAAAGTCTGTTATCTCGTAGTATGAGGAAAAAATGGGAAAAAAGTCTGCAAGTCTGCCAGTTTTAGAAGTATCAATGCCGAGAGATCAACACATAGGAAGTAGAATTGTTGAACTATCCAAAAATGTCGATGCAGTTGTACAAATGGGACATTGGAAACCTTTAGAAAGCCCTAATTAGTGAACGAAGAGCATCGGGGGACTAGAAGCTAGTTTCCTAGTAGTGGTACTGATTTGGTAAGCAGGAAGTTTCAACATCCATGGCTGATCCACCAATGTTACCTCCAATTGGTTCAATACTTCGGCGAACATTTTCAATATGGCAATGACCTGAAACTGTTGGGACTTTAGATGATTTTGCCACCGGAGAACTCCGCAGATGAGCTGCTTACTGATTGTCTAAATGCCGCCAATCTGAATCTTCCTAAATGATGAAAGAGCAGCTCGACTGGCTCATTGAGAATCTGTTTAATCCAGATTGATTAGTCCAAGAATGGGGAAAGGTATTCTTGGATCTTTATGCTTCTGTACTAATCGGTCAATCCTGGATCAGATGCTCAGGAGACAAGTTTTTGCAATTTTGATATAGCCAATTATGATGCTGTGCTGTACAGTAGTCGAATTGCTTATGAATTTACATGATCTGAGAAAATGAACTTAGTATTCATGCCTTTGTTTTCTCTCTTAATGGAAAAAAGGTTGCAGCTTTACTACTTAGACGATGAGTTCATGACACGACTGATTACTAGTAATTATTCCCTCCATCAGCATCTGTTCATGTTTGTGTCTTCTGCTGATGTCATTTTTTTGTTAATTATTGTCAAAGCTTGTTAGTTAGGATGGAGTTTTGGGGCCTTGAAGTGAGTTTTTAATGTGTTTTTACGTGCAGGAACTTGATGGCAAAGCAAGACATGTCAGAACTAGGATTTGGAAGGGAATCTGGGACAGAAGCCATACAAGACGGAAGTGAAAAGGGTAGGTTAGATAACTAAGTCCTCTACTGCTAGGTTTGAAACCCAGATATCTAGTGATACTTCTGCATTAGTATTGCATAATTTAAGTTAGATATTATTTTTCCGGGTAAGATGTAGACTAGTCGATACACAGATGATAATTTGGTTCGGGATTCCTACCAGTTTGTGATTTGGATCCCTCATCGGAAATTAGGTTCTGACTTCTGTATGAGAGTTCAATTTGCAAAAATTAATGTTCTCTTTTGTATATTGTCAACTGTTCATATGTAGCTGCTGCTGTTTCTTTGTGTAACTTATGAAGTAATCCTCCGTTTTTGCGTTTTAGTCTGATAAACGAAACAACGATGCACATTGCAGTGGGAGTCTATCAAGAAGCTTATGTTTGTTTCGTTTTTTTAGTGTGTGTTTTTAGGTATTTTTTGTATTGGAAATGTAAAAAGGTATGTTGGGATGAGATAGCTATTATTTTATTATTATGAAAAAACCATCCAAAAAACAAAGCAAACAAAGTTGAATTCAAGCTTTTCACTCAAAACTCCTTGAAGGAAAACCCAAAGCGGATTCCTTAGCTAGTTCGGGTGTAGATACAAATATTTCGGTTGCTTGCTTAGCTTGAATGGCGAATAAACCATACTGCAACCGAAAAATCCCTACTGAGAGAGACAGGGAGATGTTCCCTTGTGGGAGTTCAAGGATTCAAGAACTTTTGGAGTTGCTAAGCAATCACATTATACTTGAATGATTTTTGTGAAAGTGGATATGAACTTCACCATGGATTTGTTTCAACATAGTTGGGTTTCTTCCATTTTCTTCAAAGTTTACTAGCGGTGCTCCAACTCTGTCAAGTGATTAAACACACTCGAAGCAGAAAACATGGCCACATTTGGTAACAACTCCAAGTTCACTTTCCAGCAGCCGTAGTAAAAACACTCGAGTTTTCCTTTCGCAAGGGGTTCCGAAGAATATTCTCTTCGAACAATTTCCTTGTAGTAATCGTTTTTTCACAAGCACCCAATACTAACAAAGGCGTAGCATCATCAACAAAATCATTAATTAGCAACATAAAGCTAGAATACATCTGTTCAAGTCTTGAGTAAAAATCTCGTTAATGGATTAATCCACCTTTCTCAAATATTGGTAGTCTTCTGTAACAAAAAGAAAGGGAAAATTTGGATTAAGGGCGGTAAAGAAGTTTTAATTAATAAAAGAGGTACAAGTTTTGCATAATATGGATTAAGAGCAGTAAATTACTTTCTCAAATTTATAAAATTAAATTATTTGTGCTCTCACATAAATGCCCCTTCTATCTAACTCATATAAGCTTGGGGGAAAAAAAAAAAACAAGGATCAAAGAAAATTTCGTCTCCCATTCAACCCTAGAGTCCCCCATCCTCATCTCTTGCAAGGTAATATTTACATTTTGATTCATAACTTTTTGAAGTCAATTTGTTTGAAGCCAATTATGAAGCCATTCACTATTTATGTTCCGTTGTTTATTTGATTTGGCTGCTAGATGAATCATTATGGCTACTACTTTGAAAGTAACCCATTCGTGCCAATGGGAGTTTTTGGATCTATTGTGCAAAATTTTGAAAACACATTCCTGACCATTTAACACATTTATGTTATCCTGTCCCGCATATATTGTTGTAATTAGCTCTGTTATATACAATTATCAATGTAATTCACTACATCGATTTGCAGTCCATCGGTAACCAGTAATTCCTATCGTCACATTTTTTTTTTCCTTTGATCCTCCTTTTTTCTTTTTTTTTTCCCCACGCAGAAATAAGAGAAGAAGGGGTTATTTTCGTTAGAGCATAAGTAATTTAATTTTATAAATTTGATAAAGCAATTTACTTCCCTTAATCTATATTATGTAAAAACTTATACCTCTTTTATTAATTAAAATCTCTCTACTGCCCTTAATCCAAAATTTTCCAAAAAGGAGACCTATCATATCAACTTTAAGGAATTTATTCCCTTTGTATAATTGTATGCCTCAAAATCAGCCAATTTAGGTTCGTTTAAAAATGTATAAAAGTTGCCACAAATATGAATACAGTAAACTGCATAATTTAATTTTATTGAATATATAAGTCATTTGACATCCGAAGTGGAAAGACAGGACTGTCAAAAATAAAAGAAAAAAGAAAAAGAATGCATTCACATTGTTAGATTCATCTTGAACAGCTGAAAAAATGGATTAATAAAAAGAATGAAGTAACAAAAATTTATCACTACCAAAATACTAAATAAATCAAAGAATATATAGAAGATCTAGCTAATCTAATCAAATCAAATTTGTAGGTGTTCCTATGAAGAAAGATACTCGAACTCATGTCCTATTGAACATGCCTTGATCATAACCGCCATACTCGGGAGGTTGGAACGGCATTTGGTTATAACGGCGTGGCGGCCGGAAAAATGATCTTGGAGGGCCATAATCATCATAACCATAACCGGAACCAAGATATTGTGGTGGCATTTCGCCATCAAACCCTGGCAGCCGGCCGCGGGGCCCGGACGAATGAGCGAATGAACCACCACCATACGGCTGACGCTCGCGATTTCCGCTCATCTGAATGTTGATTTCTCCGGGATAATTGCAAAGGTTCTCCATAACGTATGCAGCCATGCAGGGATTCTCTCTGCTGCATCTTCCTGGCATTGGAGGCGGTGGTGGATTTGATGGTTTGGGTGCTTCTTCTTCTGCCTTTTTCTTCTTTGGCTGCTTCTTTTTTCTCTATTAATACCAAAAAAAGAAAATGCAATGAGTCATAATATATTACTATATAAGAGTAACGAAATTTAATGAATGTATGATCAATTATATGAGTCATTAATTCAACAACAATGCACTCTCATTCATTGAATATCAAAGTATGAACCTAACCAATATATAACACAGTGATTTTTATTCAATATTTGTAGATTGATGCCAAAAAAGAAAAAAAAATATTTATTCTGGTTTCAAGATCATGAAAAGACACCCAAAAAAAGACTAAATTTACAGATACGCAAAAATGATCACAAGTCCTTTTGCTACATAAAAATATAGTTCACTTTACAACACTATTATATATAGTTTTATTAAAAAGTGAATTAACATGTGATGAAAGGAACTAGTAATTGATCAAATGTCATTCTTTCAAATTCAGAATATCAAGACAACAAAACCCTATTCAGTTAATTACCTCCTCCCTTGATCTACACTCAAGGGGATCCAACTTCTTTAATCGAAAAAGAATATGAATAGTGTAGCAACATCCACATAAATAAACAATTAAAAAAATTACAGCAAAGTTGAAATTACCTGAATTGTAAAGGGACAACAGAACACCATGGCAGCTTGAATAACGTTAAAGAACCCTAAAATTCAAGTTGAAGAGATCGAAATTTTTTTTCAGAAGTTTACTATGTTCTTCGTCAGAGACCGTGGAAATTTCACTACCAATGTTCTCTCTTCACTTTCATCCCCGTGAGGGCTATTTATATGCTAAAAGTTAATTAATTAGGTTGCCAAAGGAGTTTACAGCTGTACGTTTGGTTAATTAAATTAATTAATTGATTCTTTGTTCCCTAACTTATTTTGATCCAAGTAAATAATCAAATACGCGTTCAAAATGATACGTTTATACTTTGTACATCATATAATTGTTCAATGAAGATAACTAGTTGAATTTTTCCTCTGTAAAACACATATGAACCGACATTATTGATTAATCACTAGCTGTCAAGTAAAGGGCATATCAAATCTTTCCTTTTTTAAAAAATATGATCATTCTATAAGTAGCTAATGATATGGAATGGTATAAGGCAATATACGTAATAACGTTATTAAGGTTTACCATTCATATATGTAATCAAATTAATACTCATTAAATAGAGATTCTTCTTTCGTGCTGTATTTTTGCAGCTGTCAAATTGGCTGTGAATTCAATACTGCTACAATTATAATCACACCAATGATAATAAGTTTTACGTGCGCCAAAAATATTGGTGATTCTGGATCATTTGTAGAAGAATTTTCTAGGAAGAAGATGTAAGGTCGTCAAGCCAAAGACATTACGCTTACATAAAATGAAAATGAAGAGGTGAAAATTTTTAAGTACTAGAAGGAAGAAATAAAATTACTGATAAGACTCCCTTGGTTTTACCTTTCGATCCCAAACCCTTACCCACCAGATGTAACCACTCCTCTCGAAAACAATTCGCAAATCAGGCGAACATCCATCCGTGGGATCTACAGTTTGATTATTGGCATCAGGTTAGAGATGGGGCGGTAATCACTAATCCTGGATCCATCGTCCCTCTCCTTGAGCATCTCCGTTCCAAAGATGAAAATTTGTTAGGAAACAAAGGACCCCTGGCTTTTGGTTATCGTCTCCCCGTCGGAATCGTGGTTGCTTTTAATCATAAACTTCCGGGTACTCTGATTCTTTGCTTTTTGTCTATTGTTATTTTAGTACCTGAAATTTGTTAGGACAGGATAAATTACGCTTAACCTTACTACCGATTCAATATTTCATAGTTGCATGATTATTTCCATATTGGTTTTCTTGGGTACATGTTGAACCCACCGAATAATTAGCTCTTATCTAACTTACTTTATTAAATTCATTATATCAGTTGATGATCCTCTAAGTGACCTTCATAGTGTCGGTCCTCACACTTTTGTCTCTATTACTGGCGGAATGGCTACTAAATGCCACAAGTTAATGCAAGATCTGCGCGCCAAGGTAAGTATTTTGTACTCCCTCAGCTCCCTGAAAATGATTTGTCAATATCCCAAAAGACTTAAAAAATGATCTCTTCTACTCTGGCTTATCTCTACATTGTGTATGCCAGTGCATGCGCTATGGAAATGGTGGGGTGCCTGGAGCCTCCGTTAATCAGGCAGTAGACTCGATGACCGAGATACTGAGAAATCGCCGTGAAGTGGGTCTCATCGCTGGGTGGGACGATACTAAGGTATGCACCGATGAGAGTAGACTGACAGAATTGAAAACTAATGAGATGAAATAGGCAAACCAAGCAGTAGGGATTTAAGAAACACAGTCTTTGAGGGCTACTAAACCTTCACTTTGTATAAATTATAAAACAAAAATAATAAGGCTGAACTGCTTTATGTATCGAGACATTCTAATGAAACTGACATTATATAAAAAGAACACATAACAAAAAGGAGACTGACATTATATCAAAAAAGAACACATGACTAAAAGGAAACTACTTAATTAGAAGTTTAAAGCTATTTCTTCAATCTTCCTGCATCAACTTGGCTGGTCTTTGTTGCAAGCACTTTGGTTAATCAAGACTCTTTATTCTTATTCTTTCTAGGGCCGTCCGGCATTGTATCTTGTGGACGGCAGACATGCACTGATAATAGGGGCATGTATTGGCCACCGGATATAGATATCAAATGTTCTATTCTGTTGTGGGAGTTAATGATCCTTTAGTAGGTAAGCCTTCATTAGAGAAACGTCCTCGGGGCCAGACTCGCGACCTATCTGAAACCAAGTACGATTCCTTTCCCTTGTTCTCTCTCTATTTTGGTTTATTAACGTTGTTTGCTAAGTGTTAGTTTTATGATTTTTTTAGTCATTGCGATTTGTTGTTTGTTTTTGTAGAAAATATTCCTTTCCCGGTCTTGTTCTAGTGTCTGTTCCTTTAGATGAACACAATTATCTTCCTTGGAGTCGATCTATGCGTACAGCACTGGAATCGAAGATGAAGGTAGCTTTTATCGATGGGAGGGTCCTGAGCCACCTGTTGATTCTCTGCTACATGTGAGGTGGAAGCAGGTTGATTCTACTGTAAAGTCATGGATTATGGCATCAATTTCCAGAGACATTGCAGACAGCTATATGTATGCTATGTCAGCAAAGCAGATTTGGGAGGATTTGGCAGAACAGTATGGTACGCCAAACTGCAACAAACTGTATAACATGAGGAATGAAAGAATTGCAGTACAACAAGGTGACAATTCACTCATAAAATACTATAATTCACTCAAAAGAGTCTGGGATCAGTATGAGCATTATCGTCCTTTATCGGTATGCACACCTGATGTTGTAAAAGTTTTATTGAATAGAGATCAGGAAGATAAGCTCATTGACTTTCTTATGGGGTTGAATAAATCATATGAGGCAGTTAAGGATCAAATTCTGTTGATTGATCCACCGCCTACTATTGGGCAGGCATATGCCATGGTACAAAGAGTAGAGAAGCAACTTAGGCCAAATACTTGTGGTGTTTTAAACTCAGAAAACAGTGCGTTCATAGCTAATAATCCAGAGAATTATGCACTACTGGGAAATACAAGTGCTATCAATCAGTTTGGTCAGATGCTTGCAGCAGGAAACTCTGGGAATCTTCAAGGGAACAGTGGTGGAAATGATTCAGTCTTCAACAATGCAGGCACATAATTGTTAGCTAAACCGTAGATGTCACATATGCAATTTGAAAGGAGGAACAACACAGGATCAGGAGGCAACTGGTTAAGCAAAAAGGAGAGATCAAAGCTTTTCTGTACGCATTGTAATAGGACTGGTCACCTAAAGGAAGGCTTTTTTCTACTTGTGGGATTTCCTGATTGGTGGAAAGAATTAAAGCAAAAAGCTGGTAATCAGAATGGTAACAATGGAAGAAACTTTGCTCACATTGCAGAAGCTGAAACACCGTTGGAGTTGGGTGAACCGGGATTGGACTGGAACACTATGGCTAAGCAGATCAACCAGATTCAGCACAATTTCAGCACCTTAATGAAAGGGAAGAATGTTCAGCTAGGATTGGTGGATCAAAATCAGCACCAAGTCAACTTTGCCCACTTTAGCGAATTTGCAGGTAGCACTACTTATGCTCCTTTACATAACAGTGTCATTTTAGAGGATGATCTTGGCTTCTTTGACAGTGGTGCCGCTGGGCACATGATTCACACCTTTTCTTGGTTTCATACGTCTAAACCAGTAGATATTCGTACCCCTGTTAAACTCCCTGATGGATCAGTACAGTATGTTCAACAGACAGGACAAGTCTGCTTGAATAATAGGATTACTTTAGAAAATGCTTTGTTTGTGCCTACTTTCAAATATAATTTGATTTCAGTAAGGAAACTTGCACAAACTGAAAACCTCTATTTTTCTTTTCTGTCTGATTTGTGCGTCATGCAGGACCTCATGACTGACAAAGTCTTGGGTGTTGGAATGGTGTACAAAGGACTATATGCACTCACTAAAGATTCTTTTAATCCAGACTTCATTAGACATTCTGTTCAGCTTCATTTTCCCAGAATGTTCCTTAGAACTACTTTAGATTCTTCTGTTTTCACTCCTACATAATAACAATGTTGTGGCCTTGAATGTTCAATGGCACAACCATTTAGGTCATCCTTCTTTTCCTGTCTTGAAGCATCTTGATAAGCTTTTGGATTGTAAAGTTCATAACATTGAATGTTGTGATATATGTCCTTTGTCAAAGCAACAAAGACTTATGTTTCCAGATAGTTCTACCAAATCTGTTGCTCCTTTTCAGCTTATTCATGTTGATCTATGGGGACCTTATAGTCACCCAAACCTCTCACAAACACACTACTTCCTTACAATTGTTGATGATTTCAGTAGAACCACTTGGACACAATTGCTCAGACACAAAACAACAGTTGTTCAAGTTCTACAGACTTTCTTTTCTATGGTTGCAACTCAGTTTAATGCAACAGTTAAGACTATTCGTACAGACAATGGCAGTGAGTTTGTCAACCAACACTGTCAAGATCTTTTCTCTTCATTAGGAATTCTACACTAGAAATCTTGTGCCTACACACCCCAACAAAATGGTGTTGTAGAGCGTAAACACAAACACTTGCTGCAAATGGCCCGTTCTTTGATGTTCCAGTCATCTCTTCCTAAGAAATTCTGAGGAGATGCAATACTCACAGCTACATATATCATAAACAGACTTCCCTCTCCTTTATTGTCATGGAAAACCCCTTATGAAATTCTGTTTGGTAAACCACCAACTCTTATTCATCTCAGGGTTTTTGGGTGTTTATGTTACATGACCAACACTCAGCCACATAAGGATAAATTCTCACCTAGAGCCTTCAAATGTGTCTTTATAGGTTATCCCACTGGACAGAAAGCCTATAAGGTGTATAATCTTGATGATCACAAGACTTATGTGTCAAGAGACGCGGTCTTTTAAGGAGGATCATTTTCCTTTTCAGTCTTCTTCTCCTACTTTATCTGCTCTTCCTTTACCCCATCCTCAGTTGCCCATTGATGTTGTTGATAATGATAATTCTCCGAGCAGTCTCCTTGATCCACCGTCTAATTCTTCTGGTCATATGTCTCCTTCCATACAGCATTCTACTTCTTCTGATATTGAACCAACCTCACCTCCTCTACCACCTTTCATTCCTCGCACTAGTGGTCGAATCAGAAAGCCTCTTTCTTGGATGGACTCTTATGTGTCTCACTTGGCTTCTACTTCTGCTACTTCGTTTGATATCCTCACACCTTCTAAATTTACTCCCCCACTCACTTTTCCTTTTATCCAACAACCTTACCTTCATCCTCAGCATTCTGCATTTCTTACCAACATTTCTAAAATTTCTGAATCTAAGACTTATAACCAAGCTAAAGATCATCCTGAGTGGCAACTGGCTATGAAAAGGGAGCTTACTGCTCTTGAAGAAAATCGAACATGGGAAGTGACTTCTTTGCCACCAAGGAAAAGAGCCATTGGATGCAAATGGATTTATAAAGTCAAATATCATCCCGATGGTACCGTAGAAATTATAAGGCCCGTCTTGTGGCTAAGGGTTATACCCAAGTGGAAGAGGAGGATTATGGTGAGTCATTTTATCCTGTTGCTAAACTTGTTACTGTTCTAGTTGTTTTTGCTTTGGCAGCAACGAAGAATTGGATTTTGCACCAGCTTGATGTGAATAATGCATTTCTCCACGGATATCTTGAAGAAACCGTGTACATGCATTGTCCACCTGGTTATGCTTCAGCTGCTCCGAATCAGGTTTGCAGGCTCAAGAAATCTTTATACGGCTTAAACAGGCGTCTCGGCAATGGAATCAAGAATTAACCATTTAGTTACAATGGTTTGTTTTTATTCAGTCTCCTCATGATCATTGCTTGTTTACTAAGGTTACCGCCAGTGATTTTCTTGTGTTACTTGTGTATGTTGATGATATATTGGTGACTGGTTCTTCTAACAATTTGATCTTAGCAACCAAGGAATACTTACATCAGTAGTTCACTATCAAGGATTTAGGGCCTGCCAAGTATTTCCTTGGTGTAGAGATTGCTAGATCATCTTCTGGCATAGTTCTTAATCAGAGGAAGTATGTTCTTGATATTCTTGATAGCACAGGTCTGCTCGGATGTGTTCCAGTTTCTACACCTTTACCCAAGGGTTTATTACTTCATGATTCTAAGACTTGTTTACTTCCTGACCCTGAACCTCATAGACATCTTGTGGGTAGGCTTCTTTATTTGGGATTTACTCGACCCGATCTCACTCATGCTACTCAACAGTTGAGCCAGCATGTTCATTCTCCTAAGGAGGTTCATTGGCAGGCCGCCCTTTATGTGGTAAAGTACCTGAAAGGCACGCCTTCTTTAGGTTTGTTTTACTCCTCTGCTAATGATCTTAAGCTCACTGCCTTTTCGGATGCTGATTGGGGCCAGTGTCCTCACAGTCGTTTTTCCTTAACCGGCTTCTGTGTTTTCCTGGGAAATTCTTTAGTCTCATGGAAAACTAAGAAGCAAACCACAGTTTCACGTTCCTCCTGTGAAGCTGAGTACCGCAGCATGGCAGCAACCGTATGTGAGCTTCAATGGCTATCTTACATCCTAACCCATCTTTACACTGCTCCTTCTCTTCCCATCACTCTTTGCTGTGATAATCCATCCGCCCTTCACATTGCTGCCAATCCCACCTTTCATGAGCGCACAAAGCACCTTGATATTGATTGTCATGTTGTACGCAATCAATACAAGAGTGGCTTCCTT